GTTTCCTGTTCTGTGGGGCTGCAGCAATCCTGACAGAGCATATTGTACACATTGTTTCCTGAATTTCTTAGGTTTTGCACGTTCAAAATCATGAATGAAAATTCCTACAATGGTGGGCTATCGCAGAAAGGTTCGTAATCAATTCTGGATCATCTCTTCTGGCATGAGGTTTAGTTTTTTCCCTTCCTCAGGGAACCTGTATCTGTTTCCTGCATCTGTCACCCATCCTTCTTTGTGAATGGAAAGCAAGTAATTAATTTTTTTGTTGTTGTTAGCAATTAATTAACCTTGCCAAATCTTGGAGCACCTATTGTCTCCTTCAGACACAATGTTCTTGGGAAAAAGTCTTAACTTATTGTAACCTCTTGTGCAATCTTCGCTTGGATGATAAATACATCTTGGCAACTAGGAGCTTTCTGAATGAAAAATGTTGCTGGACAACCCTGTAGTACAGCAAGAACGCAAGCCTCTGCCAATGCTGGTGGAGTACAGCCAGGCAGGAGGGTAAAATGGGGAAAGCCTTTCACATTGCCTGCAGAGCACAGAGTGAGATGAAGTCTGTATATGCACACATCCAAATATCTGTTTACCATCAAACAAGGATTTTCCCTGTTGAGCATCTGAGCTCAAAGGTGGCCTTCCTTCTAGCAAAATCTTGAAATCTGTTGGAAAGCTGCCTTCTACCAGCATGAGATGGGAAATAACAGAGAGCATGTTGACCATGCAGCTGTCTGGTTTGGGTAGCCCACTGTAGGAACTAGCTGGGAAACACCCCTCTCCCTATTTTTCTCTATGAACCCACAAATTTGGGAACCTGCAGAGTTGCCTCAGTCTGCTTTGTGGTTCATGGTCTGACTTTGGTTTTCCATTCGATCTGTCCAGAACCACAGCTGACCACTGAAACCTCATTTTAATACTGCAGCTGTAACACTAATTGCAAAATCATTAGAGTTAATTGTAAAAGTACATTTTCCCCTTGTAGCTTTTCACCTTTTTCTGGTTTATTTTTTCACCAACAGCTAGTGATGTCTGGAAGTAAAAAGGTGCATAAAAGCCCTGCACGGATAAATGTTTGAATCCTCCAAAGGGAATACACAGAATGCAAAGAATGAGTTGGGGCCGGGACCGCTGTGTTCCCTTGCGGTTGCCCCTGCCAGTGGCTTGTGTTTCTCCTTGCAGCCTTGACAGCTGGCTGTGGGGTTAGCAGAACGCAGCCAGCGACCATGTTTCTCAAACTGTACTATGGCTGACAGCGTTTGGCCTGGTGAAAAGGAAATGATCCGAAGTGCAGGGCCTGATGCAGTGTACCTTGCAGTTAATGGAAATCTTTCTTGACCTCAGTGGGAGCTGGATTTGATCCTGTGCCTACTTGAATGTTTTAGCATTGGATACGGCTCCGAGCATATTTTTTTGCCATGTCTCATTTCTGGTCTTTTTTCCCTTCTCTTTCTAAAATGTACTTACCTTAGAGTGGTGTAAAATCAAGACAGCTCTATCTGTGTCGGTGTAGCTGTGCACTTTTATCCTCGTCCTCTGTCCTCTTGTTTCCTCAGCCCTTTTACTGTCTACAGTATCAGTTTGCAAGATTTTGGCATTGATTCCTCCCTTTCTTGAGCCATTTTGCTGCTTCTCACAAACACCATCCCTCTCACTTAAGCCTCTGCTCTCTAACAAGTGTAATTCCTGACATTGTTTAATCCATCTTCTGCTCTTCTTACCATACTTCTAATCAATCCTTGTATTGATTTCCAGAAAATGCAGCCAGCTCCTGCCACCAGCAGGGAGCCAGCTTACCCTTCAGCAGGCTCCTGGAGGCCAGCTCTTCGCCCCCTCATCCCAGCCACGCTCCCTTGCTCAGCAGAACTCATTGCTGTGTTGTGTATAGGAAGGAGAGGGCCGCTGTGCCCTATTAGCCAGCAGCCACCTTGGGCACAGTGCAGACCCTCTGTGAACCTCAGCCATGCATCAGCTCGTCCCTCATCCCTAATGAAAAGATGCTGGAATGAGCGGAGCCATCTTCAGGTGGCTGCCAGAGAGGAGAGAGCTGTGGACGTGGAGGATGGCGATGGGAAAACCAATGCAGAGGAGGCCAAAGGCCAGCTATAACAGTGCTGGAGCTTCTTGTTGCCCTCCACTCTCCTGCAGTATTGCATGCCCCCAGAAGGATTTGTCTCCTGGGTGGAGAATTACGATTATATGTGATCTGCCTCTGAGAGAAGCACTTTCCTTTTGTATGTGGAATGTTTATTTTTTATTGGTCGCTCTCTATTTGCTTGGAGATGATGCAAGGCTTTTGTGAACCAGCATCAGAAACTGGGGCTATTTGTGTCTCACGATAGCTACGGGAGAAAGGGCCAAAGCTATGGGATGGTGTACAGGGGAATCACAGGTGTTCTTCTGAACCACAAAAAAACTTACTTCATTTTTTCCAGCAGTAATGTAAATGCTAAGCAAACAGGGTATGTAATGAGCAAACCCTTTGGAGGGTGGGAGCTGACCTAGTGAAAGATGAGAGGTGGTGAGCTGGAGCACAGGGCTTAAAGGGCTGAGATTGCTAGCGACACATCTGCTGGTCCCAAGCTCTTGCTGGCCCTCTTAGGTTATCATGCAGTCCACAGTGAAATGTATTGGGCTTTTCCCCTCCCATTATTCCCACTGAAGTTTAAATATGAATCCCTTAACATATCTGCTGAAGGTAGAACATGCAGCTTCCAATAGACCAGTGTCATGTTTACTTTGCTTTTCTGACACAGGCAATGGCAAAAGAGGAGAAAGTAGTGCTACAGTATAGGGGGGAAGGGATTGTTTTCAGAGATGATATTACTATGCTGGTGATAAAAAAACTAACCTATTGTAGCCCCTCTGAATTGTATATAGCCAACATAGCTAAGAGAGGGAGAAGTGGATTATACGGGCTGTTAATCATTCAGATAATTGCTTTCAAAGCATTTATTCTTTTGGTACTCTATTGCAGACAAAACTAAAAAGCCCCAACATCCAAGCCAGCCCAAAGATCTTTCAGTCTTGCGTATTGAGCACATTTGATTTAGGAAACTTTGTCTTATGATCTAAGGCTAGATCCAGCTGCTGTAAATGGGCAGAGTGTGTTAGCAGCCCTGTGGAACTGGGCTGTAAAGCCCAGAGTCCCTGGATGATGAGAATGCTGAGCACTAGGATGCGAATTTGCTAATACTTTAGAAATGTATCCAGAAGAAGAAAAAAAGAGAGGAAAAAAACATTGTGGGAAATTCTTTCCTTCATACATAATAGTTTTCTGTTGATATAAAATTGCCCTTAGTAATGTGTTGATGCCAGTGAAATACTTCAGCTATAGGAAATGTGAAACTAACTACTGCCTTTCTATGAATTATGAGTCATAAATTGTGTGAAAAATATTAAAACTTGCTATAGCTATTCCCCAAGCAGAACCTCTGAGTAATGGAGAAAATGCTGCCATTTTGGGGGAGTAGGAGGGGACTGAGCTAAGAGAAGCAAAATGCCAAGTGCCAGCATGTGGCTCTGTGCTAAGTGTGAATTAGTGTCACTGGAGATGATCCTCCCTTGCTAAGTAAACAATTAGTATGTTACATGTACTTGAAGTTCAGTCCAGCAAAGTCGCTCTTTGCTCCAGATGATACAGGAAAGGGGCGTTCATGTTGAGGTTACCTGACTGCTAGCCAGTGCACAGAGCTGCCCTGTGGGAGAGCACTGCGCTTGTGCCAACCCAGCCGTCACATCTGCAGTCTGTAAGCCAAGCCAAGAAGGCACCAAACTCCATCTGATTCAGCGCTCAGTGGGCAGGTTGTGATGACAGAATTCCCCTAAAAATGGCACTACAGTGGCAAGATAATAAGATACTGACATTTTTAGGCAAGCCCTTGATGGTGACATTAATTTCATCCAACTTTAGCCATCTGAGAGCTATGAGTCCAAATTAGTCCTCTAATCTTCTGTCACCAAAGGTCAGTTTATCTCCTGTTACGTTTATTTTATGATTTGCCTTTTGGAGGTGATAATAGAATGATTCTCAGCAACTACTTTCGACTAAGTATCTAACTTTTTGATGGCTGAAGTTCAGCGATGTGAATTCAGCATTAAAGCTCTGGATTTCAGTCTCTCCATCATTTCAGAAAAGACCATGCAGCCTTTCAAGGATTTGTGAGTTTTGCTTTGCAACCAGAGGCTAGAGCTATTATTGAAAGGTATTCTGTATACCTGAGCTATAAGCAAATATATAAACAAACTCCAGAAGAATATGACTTGCTGGCTGTAGACCAGGGGATGCTAACTGTGGTTGTGTTGGAGTAGTTTAACTAGAGTATTCATATTTACCCCAGTTCTAGTTTTCAGGTTGTGTGTCTGGCACCCATATTGACTTCTCAGTGATGGATGTGTGCCCAATGAAATACCGCAAAAAAGACTAACAATGTGAAATGCAGTTTGGTGTGCTAGTCATTTTCCAAACAGATAGTGAATGACATCCCAGCTGTACTGAAACAGCAATCTTTCTTCCCCATTGACTCTAGCAGGGCCAGGATTTGCTCAGCAGAAATCAGTCCCTGCCTAATTAGCTTCTTGTGGCATCTGTGAAACCTTAAAACTTTTACTGTGTACAGGTGTAACACTAACAGAGACATGCTCTCAAATACCAAAAGCTAAATATTTTGCTCTATTTCATCGTATGTCAAACTATGCTGCCTTTTCCAGATTTGACTCAAAGTTTATTTTAAGGAATCGTAAAGTACACATTTCAATTTGATGCTTCTTTAATTGCCAGAGTTTGGGTAGGTTGTTTGTTTTCTTATTTTCTTTTAATTTTTGAGTTGTATAAGGCATGCAAATGTTTTCAAAGTATGAGTCCATTTGGCTTCAGGCAGTTGTGATCTGGTGTGACTTACAAAATGTTTCTATAAATATAAGAATGCTTACTGCTTTCTAGCCTGCACTATGGTGCTTGGGTTTTGTCTCAATGTGATTCAATTCTTGTTTGCTTTATATAGGAGATGGCTGTCCGAGCACTGAAGCAAACGGGTAGCAGAAGTATTGAAGCGGCTCTGGAGTATATCAGTAAGATGAGCTACTTGGATCCTAGAAATGAACAGATAGTACGTGTAATTAAGCAGACCTCACCAGGTAAGCATGAACTTTTTTGAAAATTCTGTTCTTCTTTCTTGCAATAAGCTATTTTTTAAAGTACAGTCGTTACTGGTGAGAACTAGTGGATTGGCAGTATTCAGTAGTACTCTTGTAGGACACAGTGATGTGAACATGGCCCTGCAAAGTGAGCTGGGCTGGAAGCTGAACACAACTCACCTGCTTTGCAAGAGCATGTTCGTAGTCCCCCTTCTTATAAAGGTATTTATCCTTCAGTGCAAATCACCTCAATCATCTCGAGTTTTTCACAAAGTAAAATCTTGCACGTAAGTAATTGCTATGGAGTTGTGAGATAGCTCACTTCCCAGGAATTAATTCATGTTAACATCCTTGTAAGTACACTGCAGAAATAGCTTGAGCCAAGATAACAGAAGCATTTCCACTCATCCCTGCTAGGCTACTTCAGCTCTGTTTCATGTGATTTAGCAAATGAGAGGATTTGGGCCCTGCATGTACCTCATCAGCAAACATCAGACCACAGCTGACAAAAGGCCTTGTAGGAGTTGTTTCCATTCAGGTATTAGCACTTAGGGCACTGCAGAATGCTTTTGATCTGTGATCAGGATGCACTCTGGTTTGGATAGAGTTTGTTACTTTTACCTTCTTCCAGTTTCAAAAATTGGCCAAACAGACCAAAAACTGTCTTCTGATTGGCTGAACCTGTGAATCACAGTGTTACGTGCTGAAGAGAGGTTAGTGGACGAAGGGTTGAGCACGTTGGAGACCTGTTGTCAGGGGCCTGTTTCATTGGACAAGGATCTTCTCGTGTGTCACTGGCGACATTTAGACTTAAAAGGTCTTGTCCGTGTTGGACTAGTTGAAGCTAACAAATCTGTTCAATCAGTCTGATTACAGTAGTACAGACCTCTAAGTGTGGTCATAAGTTGAGTTTACTGAGTGCAAGTGATTTCCACATGACAAATTTCTCTTCTTGGCCACCTCAGCAGCACCTTCCTTCTTGCCCCTTGATCAGAGTGAAAATCTGTGTTGGGAAGGGTATTAAATTTTGGGTAGTTGATAGAGAGGCATGTCCAGAGATGAGGAATGCTGAGGAAGAGAAAGCACATTCAGTTTATAAAGAGAAATCCCAGGACAGGAAGGAGGTCTTCAGTAAAGCCGCTTCTTTCCGGGGGGACCCTGAGGGTAGCCACATATAGGGAAGATGGAAAAGGGGAAGGACCTTCATTTTCCAGGTGGTCACTCTGAGGAATGGAGCTTCAAATGTGATGGAAAAGGGTGCATTGTTCTGCCCTTTCTATCAGTCTTAGACTTCCTGTTTTATTATTTGAGGAAATTCTGGAAAACCCTAAGACAATACTTCCTGGACTGTTACCCTGCAGGATGACCACCTTGCAGACAAAGTAGTACTGGCCAGTTTGCTATTTGGAGAGCTCTGTCCTAATACATGCACAAATGTGGCCTCAACTGAGCCTTAAGCAGAATTTAAAATAACTTTGACAGAATTACTGAACTGTATTTTGCTTTATACTGTAAAGGCTTTGTTCCTTAAAGTGAAAGAACACATCCAGTCCTAAAGAGCGTACATTTCCTCTGGAAGGGTACAAAATCTTTCCAGGCTAACATTTTAATTACTAGGTCGTCTTTCGTTTGCATTGGTTTTTGCTTTCTTAACATTCCAATGCATGCAGCTGTTTTGAATACTTAACCTTTTGAGCTGAAGATCCACCTTTACTTTTAGGATACACAGAATGCAAAACTTAAATATCATGCAGTTGATGTTTGCCTGCCTGAAGTGCCACAAAATCATAGTGGTTGTTTGGTATGGTATTGTTTGTGCTAGGATAGCACAGGTCTCTTCTACTTGATTAGGAAGCATGTAATGCTGTTTGGGAACTTGTCATTTGCACTTTGAGAATTTAAATCTTCTGGTTTTGAATTCTGTATATTGGCATATGGAAAAAAGATTTTCAAATTATTCATTTTTATCCTGTTTTAACTTCAGTAGTAAAGCTAACGAGTTTCAGCATACTGGCAAGACCCAAATAAAACTTATCAGATATTACTGTGGGACAGAGAGCTATGTATAAAAACAGATTATCCCATGAGTATAGTTGATTACTCTTAAGGATACACTCTGATCTAAAACCTTCACAGGGAAGAGATAGTCATAACAGTTACTGTGTTGGATAGGAATGTGTAGAAAAAAAAAAAAATCATCATCTGCAACTACCACGTTTGGTATCTTCATAAATCCAAATATTCCTCTGCCAGACTAGAACAAATCTAGGAGGTGGATGTCGTATCTCTCTTAACATCAGCAAGATTCCTTGCATGGCTCAAGTATATGTCCCAAAGGAGGACTATTATTGCTGCTACTTTCCTTCATGGCCTCTGATAGGGAAAAACAAAGTCACTTTGCCCCAGAGGCTCAGCATGAATCTTACTGACAGAGATGACAAATGGGTCTTATGGCTGCCTCCCGCCTCCAGGCCAGACTAGCCACTTCTTAGGATGCTTTGGATTGCCACAGCCTCCTCAGCGCATCTATCTGTGCCCCAACAGACGAGCTGAGCTATCTGGGAGTGCTGTTCTAAGTACAGCCTCCACTGGCTTTGTGGTGTTATAGGAAAAAGAGCTGCTGATTATAGATTTCACTTTAAAGAACACTGATTATTTGTCCAACTTGATTCATTTTCAAACTATTACATTGTCTATGAAAGTGTAATTTAGTATGGGGACAGCCTCTTCAGTGTGCAGAGATGGTGCATAGACCTGTCTTAATAACATGTACGTCCTTGTGTGTCTGCGTATAGCAGTGTGTATGCAGGTGAGGAATCAACAGCTATGCTCAAGTGTGCTGCATCTGACTCAGCTGGGACATCCTGTAATACAAATAATCAGAAAAGCTTGCGATCCAGTGTTCAAGCCTGTTAGTGCAACATAGCTATTCTTGTGGGCCTTGTGAAGTCAAGATTTCAAAAAGGAAATTGTTCAGGCATATATGGGCCAAGTCCTGTGACTTGTGAAAGCTAAAGAACCAGAGGGGGAATGAAAAAACAGCGATAGCACAGACTCTCCCCTTGTCTTGTTAGCATAGCCAGTGCTTTATACACTTGCAATTTGTCCTCAGATCAAAGAACTGATGAGAAGGGCCATTGACACTTCCAGTGTAGGAATGCTGGTATCTTGTCTCTGCATGTTCTTCAAGCTATGTTGACCCTGAAAGATTTGCCTGCCAAACAGATGGAAGATGAGTAATACGAGGGGATACTCTGTGTTGGACACATTGGAAAGAATACAGGACAAACTGTATGATGTCTTTGTTGCAAATGAAGGAGAGGGAAACAAGTATTTTTGAGGAGAACAATGCAACAGAGAGATGTAAACAGATCCCCGGTGTGAGCAGTGAGCTCACTGTACAGGAGATGTGGACTATATGATGACCTAGTAGCTTATAGTAATGTTGACTTTAAGTTGTATTGACAGTCCTTCCGGGAGCTTTTTTTTTCCTCCCATTGGTGCTGTACTTAACCCCCTGCTCTGTAGCTTCCTCCTGTCTGTGAGTAATGACTGGTAATACTGGTCCAGCTTTTAAAAACCAGGCTGTAGTGTAATCTGATGATTTCATAGTTAAGGAATTTGTGCTTCTATTTTCATGATTTGGTAGAACTCCCTGATGATTCCTGGCATAAGCAATGTTGTGGGCCAGGCTTGTTATCAGTAGTAATACTTGGCACCTATAACTTCAAATGTTCAGAGTGCTTAATTTAGATTTTGGAAGGTGTTTTTGTAACACATACTCCCTACGCAGTGTGCATGTATGTGTTTGTCTGTATGTATAGATGGATGAGTAATGCAAAGTAATTGGTTCACCCAAATTGTTTCCTAACATTTTTCTGTGTTCTTTTTATAAAGGAAAGGGTATTGTGCCAAATAATGTAACCCGCAGGCCAAGCTTCGAAGGATCAAACGAATCTTTTCCGTCCTACCATCAGATCAGTAATGCAGCCTATGAAGGGACAGGCTTTGGAGCAGAAGGTGCAAATATGCTTACTGAAGTTCCAAGGCCATACATGGACTATTTAATCTCTACTTCGCAGTCTCCAGCTATGAATGCTCCTGTACAGCGACCCTCTGGAGTAGGCACTCACAGCACACCAACAAGCCATCAGCAGAAAACATACCCTGCAAATATCGAGTCTTCTGTGATTAATTATCCAGTGGCTAATCACAGCAGTCAAGCTTTGCAGCTGCAGGCATCCCATGGCTCCAACAGCCAACATTACAGTAGGCAGCACATGATGGTGCAGGGGGAACCTATGGGGTATGGTGTTCAGCGGAGTCCATCCTTCCAAAACAAGATGCAGCAGGACGGAGGGTATACCAATCTCCCAAATAAAGGGGCAGTTGTTCAGAATAATTCTGGTCATGCATTTCAGCAGGCACCAGCAAGCCTGTACATATCACATTCTCATCACAAACAGACAAGTCCTTCTTCTCATCAAATGCATGTGATATCCAGAGGTCCAGCCTTTGCTAATGATTTTTCAGACAGTCCACCACAAAATCTATTAACTCCATCTAGAAATAGCCTAAACATGGACCTCTATGACATGAATAATCCTCAAGTTCAGCAGTGGCAGGCAGCAACACCATCACGCCGAGATTCTTTACAAAATCCGGGAATAGAAACATCTCCACGGCAACACGTATCCTTCAGACCCGATGCCACAGTGCCGAGCAGAACAAACTCCTTTAATAACCACCAGCAACAGCCACAAGTGACAGTGTCTATAAGACAGGTTCCTCCAGGAAAACCTGATCCTTCAATTACATCTCCAAACACAATCACAGCAGTCACATCTGCTCATATTCTCCAGCCAGTGAAGAGCATGCGAGTGATGAGACCTGAGCCTCAGACTGCGGTGGGACCTTCCCATCCTGGTTGGTTACCTGCACAGGCACCGGCTGTGGATGGCTTGGAGATCATTGAGCAGCATGTGCCACCTGTTGGAGCAGCTAATGCCTATCAACTAGATGTGGATTATGGTAACCAGGAACTGCGGTGTCCGCCACCACCGTATCCCAAGCATTTATTACTTCCCGGTAGCTCTGAGCAGTTTGATATCAACTGTTTATGCATGGGCGTAGAGCAGACCCTCCGTGTAATCCCCAATTCAACGTGCAATAAGGCTGAGGAGAGCACTGACCGAAATGACAAAAGCAACAAGAACGCTAAAGCTGAAAAACCAAGCAAGGATAAAAAGCAGATTCAGACATCTCCAGTGCCTGTGCGAAAAAATGGCAAAGATGAGGAAAAGCGAGAATCCCGAATAAAGAGCTACTCGCCTTTTGCCTTCAAGTTCTACATGGAGCAACATGTAGAAAATGTCATAAAGACCTACCAGCAGAAAATTAACAGAAGATTACAATTGGAGCAAGAAATGGCTAAAGTAATTCTCCTTGTTTTGTTATAATAAAAGCTAATGGGGTCAAATAGATTATTACTATTTTTAATCAGTCAAAAAAATTATAAAGGCAGACTCCACTGGAAGTAATAGGTATCCAACACCTCCTTTTACCAGACTATTTTCAGTTAGAATCCTGGATGCAGGTCTGGGAGGCTGTTTGAAAAACCTGAGATGTGAAATAATATATCTTCATACCAGAAAAGTAAAATTAAGCAAAATCCCCCATGGTAGGAAAGTATTAGATTTGCTTAGGCAAGAACTCAGCAGCCAGGTTTGAGGCTGAGATAATTCTGGCAATGCTTCGGCAGCTCTTGCAAAACTCTGAAAAAGTTTCCCTCTGCTTCAGTTCTTCCTCCCTGTTCCATGATAGCCACTCATTCACCAAAGCCATGGTTCAACTTGGCACTATATTGACTGTGCCATATTTTCAGATGAATATGTAATATTTGACTGGAAGTTGTCTGTTAACACATGTAAGAATATCATGCAAGAAATCATATCTTGGCCAGCTTGAACTGATCTTGGGACCCTTGCTGGAACTTGTTCTAGAAGCAGGTCTCAAGGAGGTGCACTTTTGAGTGAGAGCTGCTTTCATGCCTAATTGTAGCTCTTAAACCTAAGCACTGATAAGTCTGCTTAAAACAAAGCTGCCAAGTTTTGATGGTTGCTCTGGCAGTTTTGTTTTAGATTTTTAAATCTAGAAGGGATTTTCTTCCCAGGCATGACTAGAATATTACTTGTCTACTTTTGTATTTTAAGGATAAACTCTAAGGAAAGCTATTATTAACGCATAATGGATAGTAAATTAACTACCTGATCTTCCCTACCACAGTCAGTTTCCAGAGTCAATTAATTTGATGCTCACATTGCTCCAGAAAACTTAGTGGTTTGTTTCTTGAGGTTAAAATTAAACGAACACTCTTCTAAAATCTCTTTAAAGGTCAGCATTTTAATGGCAGTTAATAGTTTGTCCTCACTACGAGTACAGATTGTGTTGCATTGCTTGGATTTAGTGAATATTTTCCTGAGATCAAGATAGGGAATGATCTCTAAGAAGTAAAGCAGCAGCTAATTGCTTTAGTTCTTCTCTTCTGACACTTCAGCTTTCCCTCACTTCATAACTCAGAGATAATTCAGCTATAAACAAAACCAACTCCTTCCCCTAGCAACCTCACCACTGGCTGGAGTAATACACTATGAACTCAAGAGATTTTGGCTATCTGAATATCGCATTATTCTAGAATTAACCAAGAACACAACACACTAGTTGTTTTACCTTAAAACAATAAACACGTCTTTTATAATGGATTGATGCACTTCCATTTTAAAAACAGTATTACTTGTCTTGATTTGGCTGTTGCCTTCAGTCTGAAAATTCATCCTACCTGTTCTGCAAGTTCTGCAGACTTCCTCTATCCTTTATTCATACAAATTTCCTGTTTATACCATGGGGATCTCACTGCGTAGTCTGGCTGCCCACATTCATCTTTAAAGACCTAGACTGTTGTGAAATTAAATTGATCTAAGCAGCATCCCCATGGGCATATGCTTGGGTCTCTAGTCTGCTAAATCAGTCAGCTTCAACTCCTTCCACCCTCCTCCCCATTGCCCCCTCCCACCGGCCACTAATCTTTCTCTCAAAGTGCTTCAGTGGTGCACTGGTGGAGGGTTTGTTATGGTTTGTTATATTATATTCCCCTCTCTGGCAGTATTGCCCCACACCATTCAGTCAAATGAAAAAGGCAGACCAATCTCAGATATGGCAAATTCAGGTAACAAGTTTGGGCACAGTGAATTTGCCAGCATTTCAGAAATACCTCAACAGACAGACAAGAGAGTATATCTCTCATGAATACATCTTTCCTGATTCTTGGTTAATTTTTCTGAGAAATGCGTTGGGGAATGCTAGTTTATTGTTCTTTTGCTATGAATGTAACAGTACTAGCTCTTGTGGTTTGCTTTCCTTTGTAAAGGCTGGCCTTTGTGAAGCAGAACAGGAACAAATGAGGAAAATTCTCTACCAGAAGGAATCCAACTACAACAGACTTAAAAGGGCCAAAATGGATAAATCTATGTTTGTGAAAATCAAGACTCTGGGTATTGGTGCATTTGGAGAAGTATGCCTGGCCTGCAAAGTGGATACCCATGCCCTGTATGCCATGAAGACTCTGCGAAAGAAGGATGTGCTAAACCGGAACCAGGTGGCTCATGTCAAAGCAGAGAGGGACATACTTGCTGAAGCAGACAACGAGTGGGTGGTTAAACTCTATTATTCCTTCCAAGATAAAGAAAACTTGTACTTTGTGATGGACTACATCCCTGGTGGGGATATGATGAGTCTACTGATTCGAATGGAGGTCTTTCCAGAGCGTCTGGCTAGATTTTATATTGCAGAGCTCACTTTGGCTATAGAGAGTGTGCACAAAATGGGATTTATTCATCGAGACATCAAGCCTGACAACATTCTGATAGACCTTGATGGGCATATCAAACTGACTGACTTTGGACTGTGTACTGGATTCAGGTGGACTCACAATTCAAAATACTATCAGAAAGGTAGCGTTCTTAGGCTTTATTTGTGATGGTATTGCATTATTTATTTTGAAACAAACAGATACCTCTTGGCAGAAATGTCAGCTTAGAAAACAGACCAGAGGTGTGAACATTGACAAAGGGTCAATGACAATATGATGTGTCTGTCTCTCTCTAACTTATTTAATTAGTTTGTTTCCAGTCCTCTGTTTCCAGTACTGTTTAAATCCCTGTCAGTAATCCAGCTGACCACTGCTGTAGCAGCAATTTTTCAGTTTATACTTGTTTGGAGAGTCTCTTTTGGTGGTAAAATAATTTAATCACAGAGTTAAAGTAGTCCACGCACCTCCTTTGTGTACCATTGAGGAGTATTGGTGTCTGTTGGCAAAAGGTCATAAACAATTGGTTTAGCTAATCTAAATATGCTCTATTGTTCTGTGTCTCCCATATGGGAGCACACTTCCTTGTGCTGGGACAGAGACATTTTTCTGGATATGGAAAACCAATTGTGAAGGGGAGGGCAGAAGGAAATGCCTTGGATTTAAAGTTTAAATGCTGTTCTTCAGTGAGAGTGGAAGATGGCACAACTAGATCTAGAGAAATTCTTTTCTCTTTGTGTATTGTGTTTTATGGCCATGAATGTAAACTTTCTCTCCCATTTGAAAGGGACCCATATCAGACAAGACAGCATGGAGCCCAGTGATCTTTGGGATGATGTCTCCAATTGTAGATGTGGAGATAGGCTGAAGACATTGGAACAAAGAGCTAAGAAGCAGCATCAGAGATGTCTAGCCCATTCGTTAGTTGGAACCCCTAATTATATTGCTCCTGAAGTTCTGCTTCGTAAAGGTAGATAACCTGTATTTTTCTCCTGTTTAAGTGAACATTGATGCTTTGAAATACTATCTTTTTTTTGCCTTAAATAAGCTTGCTGCTTTGGAATATTGTCATTCTGAAGGCCACAAACGCTTAGCTCAGATTAAGGAGAACAGATTTCTTTACATGCTCCACTGTTCAGCATCGCATTGATGGTGGTCATACTTTGTGTGTCTGTGTATGTCTACGCTCTGAAGCATTTGAACGCTACAGCTAATAAATATGTCAGATGTTGTTGGCAGTGATATTTTCAAGTATAAAGCAGGTTATCGGTACTCATGGAGTATGACTATGACCGCTAGCAAGTTTACATAGACCAGTGAGTAGCCGGCTGATTGTTTTGAATCACTGATTCAGATGGGCCAATTAAACATGGATGATGTAAACTTGTGGAAACATGTCCTCCAGATTCCCAGCCAGAATCTTGGGGGAAACTCAACAAAAAGTCTTCCACAATTTACACTGGACACCCTAGATTCAAAAGCTCAGCTTGAGGAATGTAGGCAGTACTTGGTGGCTATCCATGCAGAACAGACATGGTCACTGTAGTAAGGAGATGGGATGTTCAAAGTTGTCTGCAAGTCAGATCGTAAGCCTGATCTTTCTCAAGTTGAGAGATTTCATGTTGGACCCTGCATCTTCCAATGACACAAATCTCTATTGAAATCAGTGTTTAAATCCTCCATTCCTTTTTTGGAGATTTCAAACATATACCTTATTTGTCTTGTCGCACCAATTAAGTGATTGAAATTGTTCCTCTGCTTGGAACTTGCTCAAAAAGTCACCTGTGGCTTTCCTCTGTCTCTAGAGCCAGGCTGTGTCTTTCAGCAGCTTTTCAAACTCGTGGTGTCACCTCCACTGAACCTAGGGGTGACATCAGTCACTAAACTTTTTTTTTTTTATTCTTTAAGGTCTAGTTTGTGCTGTGTACTGATGTAGTGTGAGACAGGGCATGAAAAAACCCACAAACTTAATTCTCTCTAATTATATGATTTCACCACTCACTTTTGAGAATTAAATTTATTCAGAAAGATTCCCAGACAGCAGGATTAGATCTTTACTGAAAGCAGTAGAATTCACATCAGCAGGCAGAAGCAACTTTAAGATGAAGGTGGATTGGGAGTCCTTTGGGTTTAGGTTACAAATTGTTTGTCTGAGAAAAGACAGGAATCTGGTTTGTATGTTTTGATATTTAATTGCAAGTAGCTCTGTACATTCTCCTTGGTTGGTGGAGAACAACCTTTTGAGTTACCTTTCAGGATACACTCAGCTCTGTGACTGGTGGAGCGTTGGTGTGATCCTCTTTGAGATGTTAGTGGGACAGCCTCCTTTTCTGGCTCCTACACCCACAGAAACCCAGCTGAAGGTAAGTTGAAGCAAAATTCTCATCTGTGGTAGCAAAATTTTAACCTTTTCCCTTCCCTTCTCCATGCACAGGCCTATCCCCTTTTGGCCTATCCCTAGAGAAAGGAGCAGTGATTACAAAAGCCTGATTTTAAATACTTCTGTGCAGGGACAAATCCTTTCCCAATCAATGAAGATAGAGAATATCAGACTAGAACTGACTTGTCTAACTGCATAGATAGTTATTAGTTTTATGAGTCTTCTCAGCACAAGTTCATCCAGCTAAATTCCTTAGAGTGCCTACCAGATTTGAGTAAGCTGATATACCAGTGATGATTACTGTTGGCAATGTAAGTGTTTCAAAGTCAAGCAGCGAGTAGTTTTTTATTGGAAAGGATGTATCTCGTGACCACGTTTCCTAGTTTACATTTTGGAGACAAAATGAAGTAATTCCTTCAAGTCATTCCATGAAGTCGGTGTAAACTGAGTATTTTCTCAAATCGGACTATGGGAGCATTCAGGAAGGAATTTGCCTTTTTTAAAAATGGAATTGCTCCCTTTATGTGCTCTCCAGCAATGTTTCTCGATTCATTGAAGTGATTATTAACAGCCAATGCAATCTAATCATTGGGTTCTTGAACCTCTAAAATAATTATAGACTGTGAGTTGACTAGTTATGTGTAAACTTCGGTACAGTTAATGTTGATGATCAGAAAGATTCTGTTGCCAGGATTAGAAGTTGTTTAATACCTTTCTCACCTCCAGGTGATAAATTGGGAAAGCACACTGCACATTCCCTCACAGATCAAGCTAAGCCCTGAGGCAACTGATCTCATCACAAAGCTCTGCTGTGCTGCTGAGGACAGGCTTGGAAGAAATGGAGCAGATGATATTAAGGCCCATTCTTTCTTTCACTCTATGGACTTCTCTACCGATATCCGTAGGCAGCCGGCTCCCTATGTTCCAAAGATCAGCCATCCAATGGACACTTCAAATTTTGATCCAGTTGAAGAGGAAAGTCCTTGGAACGATGCTAGCGGTGACAGCACCAGGACATGGGATCCACTGGCCTCTTCCAATAGCAAACACACAGAACATGCTTTTTACGAGTTTACTTTCCGAAGGTTCTTTGATGACAATGGGTATCCGTTCAGGTATCCCAAACCTTCTGGAATGGAAGTTGGTCAGTCTGAGAAATCTGAGGTAGAAGACAAAGGTGTGGTGGATCAGACCGGAGCTTGTCAGCCTGTATATGTGTAAATTATTGTATAGAGAACTTCACATAAGACTAATCTCAAATCCAGTAGGGCCTTTAACTGATCCTTTAGGAGCTGATCCTGCAGCGCTTGTTCAGGTGTAACTTCAGCCGAGGCTGGAGTCATCCTGGGGAGTCAGAAGCTTGCAGGGCCAGGTCCTAAAAATGGCACTCTTGAAAGTTCAGGTCAGTTTTACTGTAAATAACTTTGTTGATAATTACACTTGAAATCCTGGTCTTCACCAAGATCTGCAAGGCCAGCAGTCTGTCATTTCTAGGCCTATTTCTATTTGAGGTCAGCATCCCCCTACTCAGATTAACATTTACAGACTTCTGCAATTGTCAGCGTTATTTTTTAAATGAATAAAGAGCACTTATATTTTGTTTATAGCAGGGGTTTTTTTCCTACTAAATTATAGGGATTAACTTTGACAAATCATGCTGCTGTTCTTCTTTTCTACATTTTTATTTTATCCATAGCACTTATTTCACATTTAGGAAGATGCATAAAGCTGAAGAACATGTGATGAAAGGTCTCTGTGCAATAATGTAAGAAAGAAAAAAAAAAAGGAAAATGACAAAAAAAAAAAAGAAAACTGCTCTCTAATTTTCTAAATTTACTGATGCCATTGTATTCACACCGTGATTTTTGTTTATTATATGTATTTTCCACATTTCAAAATTGTGACATAACCTTAAAGCTGCTTTATTTCCTTCTGCTTATTGGAGTGTAATAGAAAGTGTGAGCAAGTGACAATTTGGGTGTGATTTCCTTGTCTAGCGTGTGAAGAATGTTGCATGAGCAGTGTTTTTCTATTTGAAATGGCCTTTTCTTGCCATTCACAGGCAGGTCCTGTGGATCCGTTTTTACTATGGGTCTAAAATTAGACCATTTTAAACCGTGTGTTGATAATATATTGTGTGGATGGTTTCCTCTTATGATTGTATCCAATATTAATTTTGTAAAACAGATTGCAAAGGTTGTAACTGAATAGTGATTTTGTGATCACTGATGTGATAGATCATTTTAGTAAACACACGTGGCACACACGTTTCCCCACAAAGGCTCGATAGCAAGACTGTGATTACAAAGCTAATTTCTGGCAACAGCCTAGACCGGGCTTATTCACATAGCATGCAGCGCAGTGTCCATTGGTTAATGCTAGCAGTAATGCAGAGCACCAGTTACTAACAGATGTAGCTCAACGTCTTCAAAACAGAATGGCTAAAGCTGTGCTCCCGGAACACATCAAGATCTGAACTGCGATGAGGCTGATGTTGAGTGCGTGCAGCTCCACGGACATCTACGGAACCTGGAGGTACGTGGCTTTTCCAGACATCAGATCCCTACATGTGACTGGCTGTGTATCTGTTCAGGATCCCCATGTTTTAGGCAATGACATCTGAAAATGTTGGCATTGTTCATAGGTCATTCTGTCCTGTTGTCTATAGGTAAAAATGTTGCTGCGACAGAGCACGGTAGTCCTGTGTTTCTCAAATTATAGGCATACTTTGAAATATCAATTCTTAACTATGTTAAAATACGCATTTTTCTTATATGTATAAGTGAGAATTATTCAAGGTGATATCAGAATACTAAAGATAATTAAGCCATACATATTTGCATATATATTATATATAACTAAGTAAGTAAACACACACAAAAATCCTTAATTCAGATTAGTGCAACAGTCCTATTTAAAGTGATTGACGTAATAACATTTGAGGAAAACACTCCTTTAATGTGTTTTTGCTTTCTTTTATTTTTAAATCTGGAGCTTCATTATTTTTTCCGTATATTACTCCACATATTATTCCTTAATGTTTTAGCATATCCTATCCTATCCATTGTTTAGATATCTAAGCAACAACATATAAATTCATCAGCCTAAACTAAACAAAAATGATTGTGTATTTGTTTACATTTGTATGAAAGGAATGGTCTGAGGTATGCAGTGCTTGTGTTGTGACAGTTCATGTAAGATTCAGTATTACTGCTTTTTTATATAGTAATGCCATTTTTTGTTATTTACATCTATCTGACATTCTTTCATGTGGTAGGTTCTTTCTCAGGAACTCAATTTAACTGTTATTTATTGATATATCATTGCCTTTGAAAGCTTCTACTGGCACAATTTATTAAAAATCTGAATCAAAATCTAAAATGTGTTTATGTGTTCTTGAAAAAGATAATTTCTGCCTATTTTAAGGCAGAATTTGTGATGGGTTTGGTTTTGTAATGTTGGTGATAGGTTTGAGCTACAAACGTGAGATCCAGATCTCATCTCTCCTGCAGCATTTGATGTGGGATCTCTGGGTACCTTAAGATGATTTTTTTCTGACCTCATAGCCTTTGAGAATAAGGGGCAGGATTCCCAGGTAAAACTTGCCCCCTGTGGCTGTTACCTCTGATGTTTTTCTAAAATGTAAATAATTCACCTGCAAATACCGAATCTTTGCAACTAAGCACAACCAGAGAACCCAGCCCAGAAGGAAACTGGTGCTTCCACAATGAATGTATTACTCATTTAAAATCTCTGCTGCAAGGAACAGAACCCAACTCCCATTTCACCTAAAGAAGAACTGATTTGAAAAACCAATCTTTCCAGTTTATCAGGTGCTGTCTCTAGAAGGCTCACGTCCTTTGCAGATTATTCCAGGGGTAAACAGAAACTTGGAGTAGGTTTTATGAAATTTGGACAGCTAAGCAATATGCCATATATTGGGACTGGCCCTAAGCATTCTCCATTCTGCTGAATTTCCTGTAAAAAGCATCTGATAGCTTCTTTTTAAGAAGTTGTATCAATTCAATGTATAAAAAAAATCTTCCTTTAAAAAAAAATAAAAAACCCTCAGATGTATTTATTCCTGACTGAAAGTAAGGAGTTTATGAATTCTGAAGTAGTGTTCTTGGTTAAGGAGGTGACATTTGAGATGTAATCCTAACTTTGCTATGTCAAGGTTGAACCTGCTGCTGATCTTGGCGAGACAGGAATTTCAAAAGATACATATGCACACTAACACCACTTACCCTGTGGACAAAAGTCTAAATAATTTGTCTCTGAAAATGTAAGTAATTGCTGTTTCCAGAATGGAAACTTTATAATGCAGCAGCGCCAATGGCCCAGGAACAGAACGGGCCTCTGCAGCCTTTCGGGTCTGTATTCTTTTTGCCAAGAAGCAGCAACAATTCTTGATGAGCAAATTATTCCTAGTTGGATGCAGAAGAACCAGCAGAAGAAGTTATAACCAGGTACCTAGCTTGAATAACAAGAAAGCTAACTGAGGGAGAGAAGCATTTGACTTTTAAATGGCAGTGGAAGAAGGAGGTTAACTGCAGGAAGCAGGCGATAGCCCGGAACTTGATGGAAAATCAGTCTCATAAATGTCAGAAAATTCTTTTCTTTTCCCTGTGGTCTTTGAGGTATGGCTTAACTGCCTTAAAGCTTTCCTAGAGAAACTAATGAGAATAGGATTTTTTTTATATATA